TATGCAAATCACTGATTTAAAGGGCCGATGTAAATGGTAAATGGACTGTACTTATATAGCGCTTTATCCAGTCTTTAAGACCCCTCAAAGCGCTTTACATACTACATGTCATTCACCCATTCATACAGAGCAGTGTACCTTACTCTATAGGACCTAACATTCACACACATTCACACACCGTTGGCCATGCCATCGGGAGCAACTCAGGGTTAAGTATCTTGCCCAAGGATACATTGACATGTTGACTGCATGGGCTGGGATCGAACCCACAACTTTCTGGTTGAAAGACGACCGCACTCCCTCGCAGCCACAGTCGCCCTGATGTCATGCTTTTCCGGTTATTACCTGTCCCCTTGTGTGTTATGAAGGTGTTTATGCATGTAAACGGTCTTGCAGAGTCAAAACCCTCAAAGTACACCCTGTAGTGAGTAAAACTCTAACACAGAAAAGACCTGTCTATGCTGCCCCAGAACGCCTCGTTGGGGATTCCTCTTTTTCCATTGTTTACTTCCTGGGTTCTGTGACGTGTGAACACCCAAATCAACAACAAATGACCGGATTGGCCCAAATGGACCAATCCGTGGTCACCTCACTCACCAGGATCCCTTGGCTAACTAACAGGGAGTCCCATTGACTTGCATAGAGCTCCCTGAACGCTGGTAATAGACGAGTTGGGATGGCGGAGAAATGCTCTCCGCAGACCCATCCTCACAGCGTTATAAACCTTTTTCTTACTCAATATCAAGCCACACTTATTGTTTTTACTTCGGCTGCGAGTGTTTGTGTGTGCTCAGGGTGAGTTTCGCTGACCCGGAAACCTGTCCGCTCCGAAATATGATCAGTAGAAATGGCCCTGACATGGGACCTTTAAGACTTTATTAGGAAGGAAATTTAAACTAAATTTTGCAGAGACAACATTTTTATTTTCATATTTCATTACATTTATATAACATGTTGTTTTAGGTAAAACTGTTAATCTGGAAATTAATAAATACAGCTGTTGTAAATAATAGTAGTGGAGCAAAAAACATTTAAGAAAGTAATCTCCTTTTCAACACTAGTTATTAGTTATAGTAGTGGAGAATAAATGTCAAATGATTTATGGTTTAATAATGTAAATACTGCATGTTGCAACACACATTTATTTGTGTTAGCGCACTGAAATATTACAAGACAAATTACTATAAACAAAAGCATTTGAATCCTCCTTGCAAGCACTTTAAAATACATAATATTAAAACTGAAATGATTTACATGACTTGCTTTTATCCAAAGCGATTTACATACTCAATACTGTGGACAATCCCCACAGGAGCAATTTGGGGTGAAGTGTCTCAGGGACACAACGGCATGCTGTGGGGTTTGAACCAACGCACCAACGCACAACCCACTGCGCCACACACCTCCCTTTTATTTATGGTCAAATAATGAAAAGCATGTACATGGTGCAGACAGCGACACAGTTAAAGAAGATGAAAAGTAAGGAAAAACAACACAAATATATATATATAGAAAATGATTTACATGATATCTGGATATAATAAAAACTAGGCGCAAATCAAATATGTGCATTGTTGCTATGGAAGTGGATGAGAGGTGAAAAATACTGGACAATCAAACTGAAATGATTTATGGTTAAATAATGAAAAACGTGTAAAACACATGAAAACATTTTTAAAGTACACTAAAGGTGAACTTCCTACGACTTATGTGCTTTGAGAGCAGGGGTGTCAAACTCAATTACATCGCAGGCTACATTAGAATTATAGTTGCACTCAAAGGGCCGGTGGTAACTTTAAGACTATATAAATATACATAGATAAATATACATAATATATATATAAAATAATGTATTATTTTACAATATGTCCTCTGCATTGGATTATTATCTAGGGTAATAACTTAATAATTAACTATGCCTGAAAGCAGAAGTCGAGTAAGTAATTGCAGTGCGCATCTCACAAAATGAGATGCATTGTGGGACATGTAGTTTATGGGCAACGTGCCCCTGTAAAGCGGCACGTGACCTTATAATAAACGTATTATATTATTTGCAAGCTCTTGTGGGGCCACATCAAATGAAGTGGCGGGCCGAAGTTTGACACCCCTGTTTTAGAGCCTTTAAATCCTCCTTTTAAAACTTTAAATACTGAATAATCATCCTGAAAGCACTTAGATTTTAGCGATGGAAAATCTGAAATGTTCTTAACCACTAACACTTTCCTTTTTAAATTGCATGGCCCTCGTCTCTCTCCTGCTACAGTTTACATTCATGGAATGTGAAAGTCTTTCTAGCTGGATAATTAAAACACGTTTGACCCGCTGCTCGATGTCTGCTGTCGGATGGCCTCGATCCAGTCCATCTTCTGCTGCTGAGTCGGAGCCTGGATGAAGTAATGAGTGTCCTCCTGAGTGATGATCTTGAACAGGTTGCCCTGAATGTTTCCTTTAACACCTGTTTGGTAGAAAGAATCACAGTCAATCAAGAAGACAAGCATCAGGAAGACAGTGCAGTTACAACACAATGTGTCCTCTGAGTCCTGGATCCTGAGTCCTGGATCCTGAGTCCTGGATCCTGAGTCCTGAGTTGTGGCTGAGCCTGTTGCTGACACATGCATTTTCCAGCATCTGGACTGCCTATGTTGTAAATGTATTATCTTTTCAATTTACACACGACATCTATTGTACGTCTGTCCGTCCTGCAGACTCCTGGGAGAGGGATCCTCCTGATCTCCTCAAGGTTTCTAACATGTTTCCCCCCGTTAATTGTGGGGTTTTCTTCCGTTAATTGTGGGGTTTTCTTCCGTTAATTGTGGGGCTTTCTTCCGTTAATTGTGGGGGTTTCTTTTGGAGGGTTCCCTTGTCCCATGTGAGGGTCAAAGTCAACTTTATTGTCAATCTCCAAATATGTTTGTACACACAGAAAGATCGAAATACTGTTTCCCACAGTCCCGAGGTATACAAAAACTCATACATTAAAATGAAAGAACACTCAATAATTTACAAAAAAAACACAACTTACTTCAAGTAAGCAGGATATATATAAAAAAGATGATGTACACAGTCCTCTGTTTCAGAGGGGGTCGTATTCATATTCTGTACAAACCGTAAAGTCCACTGAGACGAATGTAGGATGTGTGGGATATTGGGCTTTATAAATAAACTTTGATTGATTGATTGATTGATTGATTGATTGATTGATTGATTGATGGGTTGATTTTCCTCCCAGACATAAACAAACTCCAGTTGAAAAATCGACCACAAAGCCATTCGTTCTGATCACTCATCACATGAATGACTTGAATAAAATGCAGACGTTGACTCACCTGAGGGAACTCCGTTATCTCCGAGCGAGGAAACCAGACATGCTCTCAGAGAGAAGCCGCCCACGGGACTGATGTCATCCTGAGAGAAAGTGACGTAATGTAAGACAGGAAGTGAAAAACACAGATTCAGGAGTAATGAGCTCTGCAGTCACAGCCGACATGCTTTATTAAACATATCAAATATAACAATACAATACATCTTCAAATCAACCCTTAAAACTCATCTGTTCAACATCGCCTTCCAACAGTAACTCACTCCCCCCCACC